AGACGACGCTGGACAAATTCAAGGAGGAACTGTGGGACACAGTCGTAAGATTTGGAGAACCGCTTCTGATAGGAACGGGCCTGGATGAGAAGGCGAGAAAAGAGCTACTGAGCAAGCTGGTAGAGCTGAGGAATTCACGATCGAAGACTAGAGAAGAAAAATGTGAGGACAGCTCTACTCGGAGACAAAAAACTGTAGATAAAATGGTTGATGATATAAAAAGGGATAAGGTTGGGACTAGTAATATGATTAAAAGTACTAATATCCTTAAGGCTCGAGCAGGGGGGAGGCAAGAGTTGGAAGGAGTGGATGGAGAGGTCGAATCAGTGATGGTAGCCACAACACCCTCAAGTAGAGATGTGAAGACTCGCAAGAGGAAGAGAGAAGTGGAAGGGTTGGGTAGTCCTTCAGTGGATGCTGTTTCGGAAGGAAACTTGAGAGACGGCGCCCATGGTTTTGGCTCGATGCAAGACGGCGGCATACAAGAGCAGCTCGGAGCTCAGAAGACCACTTGAAGTAGAGAGGGAAATAGAGGTTTCCACCAGTTCGACATCGGAGGAAGACTTCAAGCCTCAGAAGATAAACGTGAAGAGAGGTTCAACGAACGGACAGACATGGGAAGTAGATGCCGGCAAAGAATGGATCTCGAAGGCACACCAGGCCACGGGCAAGCGAGTGACAAGTGATCCATTGGAGAGGAACAAGACGAGGAACACCTCCCGGACATGGTGGGTGGCCCTTGAAACATTGAAAGAAATGGAGGACTGCTGGAAGAGGTTGGACAGTGGAGTAGCTCGCAAGCGACGCAATTGGGCCACCCAGCAAAAGGCCGAGGTTAATAGAATAGAAATGGCAAATCATCTGAAGAGGTCCTGGCAGAGTTTGTTGAAGGATCATTTTGAAGAAGCAATGAGGACACCCTCATCAGCACCACCATTAATGGCGAATCCCTTCGTTAGAACTGCAGGACAATTAATGTTCACCTGGAGTCTGGTGGGGATAGAGTTGGAAACACTGACCTCGTATGACAGGCTAAAGTTGGGAAGCAAGAAGCTAGATGTGTATCAGGCACTGATGCAACACGTAGCCAGGGACAACTCAGGCTTGAGCCTGGCTAGAAGAAAGGATGCCACGTGTTTCTTGAGATGGATAATGTCGATGATGTCTGATAGCACCATCCTGGCATGCCAACAGAGAGCAAGCGTAAGCAAAACCATGGAAAAAAAGAGTCTCAACGGTCATCTTGAACGTGTATCAGAGCACAGGAATAGAAAAGGAAGAGGGTTCCAGACTATCCCTAGAGAACCATAGGAAGCTAGACGAGGTACGGAGGTTTTATAATAAGAAGTTCGAAGAAGAACATGATGTTCACCGTAACCTGGCCTCGTCAGAGCAGTACTCGAGGCTCAGCGAGAAGGGGGAATACCAATATGTGTCTGGAGTGATGGGAATGGCCTACAACCCCTTCTTAGACTCGGAAGCTGGAGGCGCCCACAGGAACCATGAGGTAGCGGAGCTACTGAAGTTTTGAACAGAAAGAATAATGGAAATAGACGCGGTGGAAAAAGAGGGGCCGAGCCTGGGCCTGATTCTTGAGAAAACACCAGAGGTGGTGAGCATACCGCATTCAAACAAGAGAGTTGAAGTGAACATGGGCGATGGAAATGGCTTGTTAACCACGAACTTGGGAGTGGTATGGAAGCTATTAAGACCCTCCTGGTGTCCACATCCCCACGCGAGTCTGATCGAAGAAACCACCGAGCGAGTGAGGTTAGCACCAACGGAAGATGAAGATCTGGCAAAGTTGAGTGTGCTGCATAAGCTAATTTCACCTCAGATGCAAGAGCCAAGCGAAAAGACTAGTAATCCCGGGTCAGCAAAGAAATTGGAGCCGGGTAGCTGTCTGGATTCGACGTGTGGAAACGGAGAGCACACCTGCGATGGACGGTCATGCGTTAGAATACTGTCATTTCAAAAAGAAGACCTGGTCACTTGGTTCGAAGACATAACAGAAAGGGAGAAAAGTGAAGTGCAAATAGTAGCGGAGTGTTACGCGAGAACCACGGTGAATATAGCGACAGCTCTCGGATTCTTCTCGAGAATGTGTAGTCTGCAGTCACTGGAAAGACTAGAATCTGAACATCATTTAGTGACGGCGTTGAGCGTAGAATCATGGCCCGGGGTGTTGCAGGTGACTCAAAAACACATCCGGAGCTGGAAGGTTGGTCTCGAGGCGGAAATGGGATTTCCCATGAGCGAAGCTTATGGCTTGCCATTGAACGCGAAATCGCTGATAGGGTCAATGATGGCCAACTTGTGCGGAAGTCACTACCCACTGCACATGGTGATGGTGGAAGCATCCAGCCAGAGAGTACTGGTGGACAAGGCCTTCTCAGTGCCCAAGTGCGTGAGGTTGGCTCGGATATCGCATCACTCGCACAAGTTGTTGAGAAAACTCAGAGGGACAGTACCAAAAGAATTGAGCGATGACTTGAGTGAAATCTGGGGAGAAGAACTTTTGAAGTTGGAGAGAGAGAACACAAGCGATCACGAGAGACAAAACGTGATCGGAAAACCTGTGGGAAGTGCTCCAAACCTGGAAGATAACGACACGATGCATGAGAAAATGATGGAGCTTGAGCCTCTCTTGGAAGCCTCGGGGGAGCGTAACCTCAGGAGCATTGAAATCACCCATGGAGAATGCCCATGCCACTGTTTAGCGCAAACGGTGTGGTATCCAGATCACAAGAACCTTTGCCTGGTGTGGGATATGGAAGAAATCCGGTCGATCGGACTACCGGATCACCGACAGAAGGTGACGATCTTGGTAGTGAGTACGATCTTGGCTCTGAGATGGATAGAAGAGAATATAACGAAGTATCGGGAAGCGGGGACGCCAACGGCAGAGTCAATATACGCGATAGACTACAGTAGGAGACTCGAGTTGTTTGAGACTGCGTGCAAGGTATTCGCCATACCAACGGAAGTCAGACATGTCTGGAGCCGTTTGAGGTACTTCCCATGGTTTCGGGCGACGCTGACGTCCTGGTTGTACATGACAACGAAAGATCACATGAGAAAACATCGAAAGGAGTATCGACAGTTCCAGGCCGAGATTGGGCCGGAAGCTTTCAAGAGACCCCTGTTAACCCATCGTAATGCAATCACGACAGGATGGAAGAGAGTGGGTAAAATGTCTAGAGACAATACCAAGGCGAGGGAATCGATACTAGAGGAGGACCTGGCGAAGAACGTGAGCTTGAGCCTGCACAACTCCTTTTGTTTGAACCGGGAATCTAGGGTGAAGGCACTACCCAACCAAGCAAAGAGGTTGCAAGAGCAAACAGAATGGATGCGATCCTACGAGCAGCTGAAGGCTTGGGAGGAGATAGTGATTAGCTCCGATGATGAAGAGGAACTGTTGAGACAGTTTGCCGTATCTAGTACTTCAGGGTGCAGTACCTCCAAGGCGAAGAGTGCGAGATGAGCAGGTGGCTCGAATGGATCTTGAGTCTTGAGAGGGAAAGGGGGGCTTGAGCGTGGATCCGGGTGAAACTTGGATTCACGAAAAAGAAGTTTTAACAAAGCAAATATTGTTATTAATATACTATATTTATTATATAAATCAAAATGCTGCATGACAATTTCCTGATTGAATAGGACAAAAGAAATTTTAAATGATTGGCTTGGAAAGCAAGAATTCAAGGGTGCAGGTGTGTGCAGATTTTGATTGCTGTTTAGCGATAGTGTGAAAATTTTACATGGCTGTGAATTTTGGGGTGTAGATAAGCTTAAGTCTGCTGCAAACTTCTGTAAATGACCACTGGCACTGTATCTTGAGTAACACTCGGTTTTCTGGGACTCACTGGCAGAAGACAGCACGCGATGAGGACATCGATCTCGAGTCCGGGGAGTATGTGCCAGTCGGTCATATTCGGAAGTTTGACCTTGAGAGAAGCAAAAAACACTTGATTTTGGAGTGAAATTTAGTTTTTCAAAATTTCGAATGGAACCTGTCATGCACGATTTTCTCGCGATAACAGAAAATCAGAAAAGAGAAGTCAGAACGTTCGAGTGAAAAACGCGGGAAAGTTGCAAGAGAAATCGGTAGGAAATTGCTATTCGCAATTTCCATCATAGTGAACAAGAGTAGAGCTGTCCCATCTGAAATAGAGGACAGAGTATTCCCGAGAGAACAATTATTTGAGCTGGACCAGAGTGAACCTTCGACGGAAAGGTGGACAACTTGAGTGTCCCAATGGTTCACGAGAAACTATATCCTAGAGTTAAGACTTGTCCTTGTTATTGAAACTGACTAACATTAAAACTCATTTAGTTACATTATTTAATTCTTGAGTTAATTACCGACTGAAGTACTTCCCCTTCTTGAGTGTGCTACAATGTGAGTACTAATTTAAAATTTCTCGAGTGTATTTTATGATAGTTATGTTGAGATAAGGCGAGTTTTAGGTTGATCCATCTGAAATGGATCAAAGTTCCACTGTCTAATAAAAAGTAACTTAACGGATTGTTCCAACCCGGTTTTTAATGGCGTTCATGTATTTTGGGTATCTAGAGACCTAAGTATGGGGACGTTTCTAATTCTAGAGTGGGGGGATATTTTAGTAGTAGCCTTTAAGCTGTAACGGGTCGTAGTCTCATGTCACAAGCAAACCGAAATGGCTCCGACTGATTTGAGGTACAAAAACACAAGAGATAGTGTCCCTGACTCTTGAGCCAATGGTTATAAGGCCTATTTTTCTTAAGCCTCATGTGTGACTGCAGTAGACGAATATTACATTGTTTGGTCCCTCAAAAACGCTGTGGTCAGTATGTTGCTAATTCTATCAGTAAGCAGTTTTAATTCTCTATATGGCAGTCGAAACGGGCCTAATTAGTCTAGCGGGTACGAATCCGGTAACCAACCCCTTAACCAATCATCTAAACTAGTTTTGTCACGGGACCAAACAAGTAAACTAGTATCCAGACATTCACTTAAAAACAATTTTCATAAAAATATCTATTACTCATATAAATATCAATTAAATTGTACAATGTAATTCAGGACAGTTCGCTGATTCGTTTCTGGATCACTTTGTCCGTGATGTCTCTGAGTTTGGGTGCATCCACATAAGAGTCACACTCGAAGCACCACACGGAGGAGTCCATGAAACTGAGGGCCACGAAGTGTGTCTGTTCACTGGAATGAGTCAACATGTGTCCATTCGCATATCTGCTGCATAGGATTGTCTAGAGAAAAAGAAACCGAAGAATTATGAGTTTTTCAAACACAGAGAAAAAGAACAATTTTGGGGTTTTGAAATACAGGATTGTCTGAGAGAAGAAATCAGCTTTTTATCATACAGGAGCATATGTAGAGAACAAGGATATACTGCAAATTAAGCGTCACACAAAACTGATTTAACAAAATATTTTTACACAGGCGAAGCTGAGCTTCGCACCACTTGCGATACAACACAAGAAAGCCGCTAAGTCGAAAACAAAATCAAAAATGTCGAAAAAACTAGATCCATCAAAATGAATAAGGCTAGTTTTGAAAATTACCATGACAATAGAATGTGAGATTAGCATCGGAAAAAATTTTACAAAGCGGTAACAAAGCCGAAAACACCGTAACCCTTGAAGCTGAAAAAAATCAACAAGACCTAAGACTTATAAAAACTTAACAACTCCCCCTCGCCCTCAAAACACACACGTTAAACTTTATTTCCTCGTCATATGAAACAATAAGAGGCCACTCAGCCGATATAAAATAGGCCGAAACCTACTAAACCGCAAAAAATGAAATTAAAAAAGCCAAATTTTTTTTTTAAAACCTATTAAGTCCTCCTTAGCCTCACACACACACATGTACATACAAACACACGCACACGCACACAGTTCCTTTAACTATTTTGATGTTTTCTCTGCAGAAAATTTTTTTTAAAAAAACACTAAAAGCAACTACGATGTTACTTGCTTACAACAAAAACACAATTCTACGATGCAGTAACTAAGCTGACAAAATATAAGCAGACAAAAAATAAGATGACAATTTATTTACCGATTGAAAAAAAAAAACAGGTCCTGTCAGATTCGAACCCAGGACCTTTACAGTCCCAGGCGTATTCGTTACCACCAGACCAAGTGCGCCAGAGACGCAAAGACATTTGAACTTATTATGAACTAAACCCAAATTTACCATTTCTAAATTATTTAGTGAAAAAAAGTATTGTACCCGATTGCAATACCCTTGCTTATCGCAAGGGTAAAAAGTCGAAAAAAAAACCAATCAAAAAAATTAAGGACTAATAAAAAAAAGTTCACTCACACGCACCTACAAGTGTGAGTGAGTTCACTAACTCACTCACACGCACCTACGAACTTTTTTCGCTCGTCGAAAGACGCAACAAGAGGAAATTAAGCCCAAATGACATAAGCTGAAACCTATCCAATGGAAAAAAAGGAAAAGAATAAAAAGCAAAGTCGAAAAAAAAGTTGTCATGAAAAACTATAATTTCTAACAAGATTTTAGCGTTTTGAGCAATCTAGAGGCGAGCATAAAAATTATTTTTCTCTCGAAATGAATCAGAATTAGGTCACTAAGCCAATAAAATGTAAGCCGAAATCATTTGGGCAGAATACAATTTTTCAGCGACAAAACATACAAAAACAAAAAAGAAAATCTAAAGTCTAAGTTAGTAGAACTACAAACAGAACATCAAAACACTACAAACAACAACAATGTAACTTGCGTACAGCAACAAAAAAAATCAGTTCTAAGATGTGGCAACTAAATCAACATAACATAAGCCGGCAAATCTTTTTTTTGAAACTGAATTTTTCTCGTTTAAAAGAACAGCATGCTTTTTGATTCGAACCCAGGACCTTTTCCGCCTCAGGCGTATTCGTTATCTCAAAACCGAGTGTGCCAGAGACGCCTAAAAATTTGAACTTATCATGAACTGAACCTAAATTTACCATTTCTAATTTTGACTATTCTGTGAACAAAGTTATTTTCGGGAAAAGAAGTCTTGTATCCGATTTCAATACTCTTGCTTATTGCAAGGGTGAATAATTAACGATGGTACGTGTCTGTAACCAATTGGATCAAAACTATCTCCGACAAATTTTCTTAAGAGCATAAACTATCAACGAGAAATCGTTCCAGACAGGAAATCATAATTTGCTACTACAGTCGTAAAGTAAATCAAATCACCATGCACACCATAATGATCCCTACTTCTATGGGTATCGCAAGTCGTTGAAAATCACCTACTCACCTTGCATGTCAGACATATCCATGTCTCCTCCTGATTGCATCCATCCTGTTGGCACTCAATTGAGGAGTCGAGGTCACTATCGGAGAAGTTATTCAGATCTGGTTCACTCAAGGCAGCGACATGTTCACAGTCCAACTTAACATTCACGGCGAACATTTTTGAGAAAAACGAACGAATTAACAATCAATAAACAAACAACAGCTGTAGACTCAAAACTATCTAAAAATAAAATTCAACTCGAAACTATTTTTTAATATTCAAAGGGAAATAAACTTCAGTCAGATATTTCAGAATCTAAACTGCAAGTGACAAAGCTACCACAATGATTTGGAGAGAACTACAAAAGCAAACAGCTGTTTGCTGTAGTTATGACATCATCGTCGTCATCATCATGATCTTCATTATTTATCAAATTTCGACTGTCATCATAACCGTCCACGTAATCATCGTCAACTTCAAAGTCGAGGCAAATTTTTGTATAAATTAGGACACAAACGCTAAGAGTATGTAGTCCCAGAAAAATATTGCTAAAAAATTGCAAAAAACACAAAACCATTAATTCCAGTTGTCAAAAAACCTGTACTTGTACAGTATACTAAAAACCAGTACCTGTAAATAATTTGATCACAGTCCCATTTAAAATAAGAATCGAAACAAGAGTAGCCAGTGGCTGAGCAAGTAGCAGCTAACTTTCATAGCCTTATTTTTTCCAAAAAGAAAATGAAAATATGTTCGAATCTTGTGCCCATGAATCCAATTACTAACCACGTGTAGACAGATTTTGATGGGTAGTTTTGCGACTTTTTATTACAGCTCGAAACAGGACTACTCAATATATAACTTTCGACCCGTCTGGAATTTATGTGAGACTTGGAATTGCGTGAAAACAAAATGCTCCAGAATCGAACTTCATCGGCACCTCGCTGGTCGAAAATAAAAACTTGGCCCAGAAGAAAAAAAATTAATATTTCCATATGAATGCATTACAAGCTTAACTTTAAAAACACCGCAAATCTGCTCATAACCAATAACTATTATCTGAGTTTTCATCTGAACCCCTTTTTTGTATTAGGTTCTCTACATGTTCCGCTATTTTCTTGGTAGAAGCTTAAGATGAGCAGCTATTCGCACGGGATTACTCACTATAAAAACTCTATATCACACTCAATATCTAAATTTAGCATTTAAACTGATATTGGAAAACTTGTTCTTTTAAAATTTCTGCCAGATGGCATTTTTATTGTGAATTGCCGATAGAATTTAAAAAGCACACACGTTAACTCTCCACATATTTGTGGTTCAATTGAATTTCACGCTGTTGATCATCACCAATACATCAAAGTTGCGTTAGTTCTGAACTTGAACATAAGTCTAACTTCAGTACTATACAACTGAAGTATTACTAACAACCATTTATACTAGTTGCTCAATAGTTAGTGACACACTAGATTAGAACTGAGTGTACAAATCAAGCGATCGACCATGGCAGAGCTCAATTTGTATTTTGCATCAAAGTTCGATAAAATCATCGTTCAAGCAAGTTAGTATTCAGCATTAATTTTACCAAGAAGTGGAATTATCTGTCCTAAGAGCCTCTAATTACCCATGGCTACGTGAGGTTAATTAACTGACTACACATTTTTCTTAACCAGCGTTTCATTAGAATTTATAACTCAATTTCTTGGAAGTCTTACAGCATCAAAAAGCATGATGATTGATCAGAGAAATCCGAAAACATCGCGAGCTGATTGCACTAGCGGTTGTAGAAAACAAGCGAGACTCTATATTTCGCCCAAACACGAAGGAAGTTTCCAGAAATTTTCATCTGTCATTCGCAATCGGTCAATCATAACTTACTTATTACTTACCGCTTTTCTTCTACAAAACACAACGCCAATTGAAGCTACCGAAAAAGTTCCTAACAATGGTCCAGATTATTCGACATCCGAAAATTCTGAATCAAAAAATTTAATTGAGACAAAATTGGGAATATATATTTTAGTTTTAAAAAACAGAATCTAAACGAGTATTTTCACTACAGCGCTGATTTCATTTGGACGAACGAAAAAACCAAAGTGGAATTTTTAAAGGCCAATTTCTCAAACTGGGTTCAAATAACAAACTTTGCTCCCATCACTTTTTGACGAAAGGCAACCCAAATTTTAAAAAGACGTGTTTAAAATTTCTGATTTTGATTTCAAATATTTAACAGACTCATCTGTTCAATAATTTAAATCAGCACTATACGCTCTTTAACACTCAATAAAAATTAAACCTTATGATTTAAAACCTGAACTGAATTTTGAATGTTTCCATGACGCGTATCTTGTTGTTCCGAACACCCCCTAGGTCGAAGAAATTACGTTGCAGACAAGGTGACCACTTTAATTCGGACAAAAAACAGACCGAATCGAATGGAAAAAAAACAGACCAAAAACAGACTAAAAACAGACCAAAATCATCAATCTGCAAGTTATGAAAAACAATGACTGCAATCAACTTTAAATTGAACTTCAAAATTAAAATTAATTACACAAATTATTAATTACACGGGCAGAAACAGAGTCAATACATTCCTACAAGCGGGCTTTCTTTTTCTGCACAGCTGCCAAAACGATTGGACCAAAGACGATATACGCAGAAAAACAGACTTCGCTAAAAAACAGACCGAAAACAGACTGAAACAGATCAGTCTGTTTAAACAGACTAAGTGGTCACCCTGGGTGCAGAGTGTGTCTGTTTTCGTCCCTATTTTGACTACCTCAAAGAAAACTCGTAAGAGTATAAGAGTGATATCTTATTAAAGCCCTTTTGGCTGCATTTGGATTGGCAAAAAATCATGAAAACTCTTTATAACAAAAACAAAATGTCCAGTTTTTCGCGACACTGACGCGTTCTTTCAAGAATTTTTAGCGAATCCAAATATAACCAAAAACTTTTTCATATGATAGACACTTCTAACCTTACGAGCTTTCTTTGAGACTTTCAAAATGAAGGCGGGAAAAAATACAATACGCCATAGTTTCTTCTCTATAGAGGGGTGTTTGGACCAACAATAAAGGCGTCGTAATAGCAAAATTTGTTATTGATTGTGAATGAGCGTAGAATACGCATTTAAATTTACTGAATAAATAAAACAGAGTCGGAAACTTTGAACACGTTTTTTTTCGGGCCTGCTTTCGACAAAAAGTGATAAGAACCAAATGTAGAAATAGTTTTAAACTAAATTTTACAAATGAATTTATATCTAATTTCTGCGATTTCTATCTGTTTACCCTTCCAGACTATTATCAACAATTCAACCCATTATCACTAAATAAAAAATAACCATCTAAAAACAACACTTATCACTAACTAAAAAAAAGCAATAAAACAAAAAAGGTCAAACTAAAACTTTTCATTTTTTTTGCATGATTTTCTTCTGAATGATTTTAATTTAAAATCTCACGTGGTGGGGAAAATCAGCGCTACTTGCACGATAACCAAACATCCTTCTTTCTACTAGGCACTATTTCTACAATACGTTTTATCAACTGTTTAATTATTTTTATTTTCACTGAACGAAAGTTATTTTTCAAATAAAACCACAATTTAACCTCTTTGAACACTCAGATGTCTGTTTTCTGTTTTCCGTGTGGAAATAGCCCCTAGAGTACCCCGTCGGAATGAGTTAAACTTCAAGTTCAAGGACGACTACTACGACTACGAGTATGGAGAGGGAGATGAGAGGACTAGAGTGGAGACTGTATTCAGATCCAGACACTTCATGCCCCTGTTGCAGCCGAGAGAGGAGACATGTTTCACTGTCAATCTCAAGAAACACGACACACTCACTGTGTCAATGCAGGTCAGACTGATCAAAACAATCTTTTTTGAACACCTAAAATTATATTTCAATTACAAACTTTTAAAAACAACCGTTCAGAGCCAAATTTTTGAAAAAATATAATTACCGAATACACAACAAACACCGAATACAAAACAAACAACAAATGTGGGATGAACCATTGAGGATTGAAAAGAGAGGGGGAATGCACTAACAGCAAAGGAACAAAGGAGCACCAGAATTGGGAAGGCAAAAACGTAATAAACAGCACAAGACTAGATGGCCCGACTGACAATCATAGTGGCGTTTCCTCTCATGAGGCACACTGAGAGGCTCTGTAGAAGGCGAACTGGGGCAACACGAGCGTCACGTAAACCAGAACGTCTGGCATCAGCGAGGATAGCAACTGACTTGAGGGTTTTGATAGCTAAAGCGGACCAACCCCCGAGCGTTTCGACTGCTAACGGGAAAAAACTGATTCCTTGTTCCTCACAGTTTTTCTCGTGTTTCGAAAATTTGCGGTCCTCAGCAACTTCCAGGGACGCCTCGGGGGTCTCCGCCGCACGAGAGAGAAGAGATAACTGAGAAAAAATATAATGGAAAAAAGTTTCACAGGAAGTTTCTCCGTCACTGTTTTGACAAAATCAGTTGATATACAAAAAAGATGAAATCGATTCCAGGTTTTGAGAGGCGGGGATGGTAAGCTGTGGCTGTTCATCCGAGACCAGCAGACCAAGAAACACCTGGATCCTATGGCACCCTCCAAGCAGACCAGCAGACAAGTCAAAACACCCCATGATGGTGAGAACAGCGTTAGTTAACGACTCCAAACAAGAAGTATTTCAGCCACTCCACCTTTACAAACTATTCAACTAATACATTTCAAAAAGTTTTTTAATGATATGATTTTTTTCCACGAAAACAATAAGTTTCCCTATTAGTTTTGCAATTGAGTTTTCCAATTGCAAGGAGTGCTTTTTTTGCAATCAGGGCACAAAATATAATGAAGTTGGTCAATTGAATCAACAAAAAATTGGGATAAAGATGAACTCATTTGTGTCCAGGTAGTTTCGACATCTGTTTGAGCAACCGATGGGGTGCATCCTCGCCAAAAGTGGCCTCTCTTGACATTTCCATATACCAACAACCAGACACTGTAGTTACCCCCACGGGCATCGCAGAGGCTGAAAATTTAGAACGAAATGAGGGGAGTTCAAGTGTAGACACTGAACAAGATGATCCCTTCAGAGCAGGAGAGGAGGCTGAGAAGAAAAAGAGGGAAGAGGAAGAGAAAAACTACCTCGTCAACCTAGACGCAATCAAGGTCTGCTTTACTTTTTATTTGGAGCAAAATCAAGTAATCGTAATTTTAAAGGTCGATTTGTCTGGATCTGAAGATAATTCAAAGCAAAGTCATTATCATATAATTTCTTCAGTTTCACTCCAGACGCGGTTGAATGAAAAATTACGATCTGG